TTTTCTCCTCTGTCCACGGGCTATAATAAAACCTTATTCACGTCGACTCAGTCCAGGCGACAGCAATAGAAATGGCCGCGCAGCACATTTTCTTTTTCATGGTCCACACACACAACACGCTGCCTAAAAGAAAAGTTGTGGTAAATAAAATGATATCACGTGACTCGACCCCCAATAAGGGCTATCAGCCACTGGAAAGATCAACACGGATGGAAGAGGCATAGCAAGACCAGAGAAATGATGGTGGCTGGCTTAAGAGTGTGGCATGGAGAAATATTATCAGTGGAGTTGATCCAGAATACCAAAGACCGAGATCTGTGGGGATGCATGAACGCCTAAGCCCCCTGGCAAGGCACTTGATGCTGATGAAGTGATAGTTATTAGCACAGATTGTTGTGCGCATATTTTCTTTCCCCCGGAAATAAAGTTGGCCTTTGTTGTTTTCCTTTTGGGCTTTTTTCCTCTTTTTTTTTTTTTTTTTCTTTTCTTCTTTTTTTTTTTTTTTTTTTTTTCCCCCTTTTTTTTTTTTTTTTTAAAAAAGGGGGGGGTTTTTGGGGGGGGGAAAAAATTTTTTTTTTTTTAAAAAAAAAAAAACCCCCCCCCCCCGGGGGGGGGGTTTTTTTGGGGGGGGGTTTTTTTTTTTTTTCCCCCCCCCTTTTTTTTTTTAAATTTTTTCCCCTTCTTATTTCCCCTTTTTCTTTTTCCCCCCTTTTTTCCTTCTTTTTTTTTTTCTTTTTTTTTTTTTTTTTCTTTTCTTCTTTCTTTTCTTCTTATTTTTTCCCTTTTTCCCCTTTTTTTTTTCCCTTCTTTTTTCTTCCTTTTTTCTTCTTTTCTTTCTTTTCTTCTTTTTTTTCTTCTTCTTCTTTTCTTCTTTTTTTCTTTTTTTTCTTTTTTTTTCTTCTTTCTTCTTTTTCTTTTTTTTTTTTTTTTTTTTTTTTTTCCCCCCCCGGGAAAAAAAACCCCCCCCTTTTTTTTTTTTTCCCCCCCCAACCTTTCAAAAATTTTTCCTTTGGGCCCCCTTTTTTTTTGGGGAAAAAAAAAGGTGGGGGGGGGGGGGGTTGTGGGGGGGGGGGGGGGGGGGGGGTTAAAAAAATTAAGGGCCCGGTTTTAAATTTTTTTTTTAAAATTTTTTGGGGAGTAACCCGAAATTTTAATGTTTTTTTTTTAAAAAAAAATAACCCTTGTATGTGAGCACATTTGTAAAGCTGTTAGCGCAACGACCAACAACGCATCAAGTGCAACAACACCACTTACCAGATTACTGCCCCAGATCGTACACCTGCGCCAGATGTATACGAGACACTTGAACGGGTAACTATGTGTGCAGCTGTCACATCATCCAGTAAAGTGATCTGCGCCACACCCTATATAACCTGGTCGGATTTCTCTGCCCATCACTTCCTGCATTCTTCCACCGAGTCCAGATTCCCGCCACTGCACCAGCCAAGCCACCATGTACGCCAAAAATGATGTTGCGCCTTGGGGCCCGTTGCCATCCCGGGTGTCCGCAGCCCTTTCGTAAGAGCCCGCTTCCTCTTTTTTTTTTCTTTCTTCTTTCTTTATCATAAACTCAATCATAAACCTATCATCAGATCATCGTCCCTTTTCTTCTCCTTTTTTTTCTTCTTCTTCTTTTTCTTACCAACTATACTACTTTCTACTATACTATACTACTATACTACATAATACTACTATACTATACTAATACTACTACTACTACTATATTTCTATACTACTACTACTACTACTAAAACTACTACTACTTTTACTACTCCCAGTTTTAGTAGTAGAATAGTAGTAAAAAAATAAAATAAAAAAACTGTTACTACTACACTGTTACTGCTTCTACTATTTCTGCTGCTAATTTAAAAATTTTTATTTCTATTGCTGCTGGGTTTGCTGCTGCTACTGCTGCTACTAAAATTTTCTTCTTTTTCCTAATCCTCCTTTTTTTGGTGCGATTTTGTTGGGGTTGGGATATGTCACAAAGGGGCCTTTTCTCTAAAAGGACAGACCATTTGATTTGCGTCCCCTTTCCCCTCTAATGTAGAACTGGGTTTTGTGCCGACTTTCCTCCTTTTTGATCGCATTTCCCGATTTTTTTTTCTTTTAAATCCTTCTGTAGCCCCTTTTAGACATCTATTCCATATTCATAAAATTTTAAATTTTTTTTTTTTGTTGTGAATTTATTTTTGGCGACAAATGTTCATGGAAAATGGGAATGAATATTTTATTCGATTATTTTAAAGTTATCCTAAACGGGGGGACGACATGCTGTAAAAGTTGGCAAAATAACTGGGCCCAAAACTTGGTTTTTTTTACTGATGGAAATTTTTTAATTTCTTTTCCTTTTCCCCCTCTTTTGAAATTTTTGTTTTTTAGAAATTTTTTTTAAATCATTTCCCCGTTTTTCACAATCTGTGGTCTTTGCCTCTCCACAATCTGTGGTCTTTGTCTCTCCACAACTTGTGATCTTTACCTCTACACAATCTGTGGTCTTTGCCTCTTCACAACCTGTGGTCTTTGCCTCTCCACAATCTGTGGTCTTTGCCTCTTCCCAATCTGTGGTCTTTGCCTCTCCACAACCTGTGGTCTTTGCCTCTCCACAACCTGTGGTCTTTGCCTGTCCACAATCTGTGGTCTTTGCCTCTCCACAATCTGTGGTCTTTGCCTCTCCACAATCTGTGGTCTTTGCCTCTCCACAATCTGTGGTCTTTGCCTCTCCACAATCTGTGATCTTTGCCTCTCTACAATCTGTGGTCTTTGCCTCTCCACAATCTGTGGTCTTTGCCTCTCCACAATCTGTCGACTTTGCCTCTCCACAATCTGTGGTCTTTGCCTGTCCACATTCTGTGGTCTTTGCCTCTCCACAACCAGTGGTCTTTGCCTCTCCACAATCTGTAGTCTTTGTCTCTCCACAATCTACGGTCTTTGTCTCTCCACAACTTGTGATCTTTGCCTCTCCACAATCTGTGGTCTTTGCCTCTCCACAACCTGCGGTCTTTGCCTCTCCACAACCTGTCGTCTTTGCCTCTCCACAATCTGCGATCTTTGCCTCTCCACAATCTGTGGTCTTTGCCTCTCCACAATCTGTGGTCTTTGCCTCTCCACAATCTGTGATCTTTGCCTCTCCCCAATCTGTGGTCTTTGCCTCTCCACAATCTGTGGTCTTTGCCTCTCCACAATCTGTGGTCTTTGCCTCTCCACAATCTGTGAACTTTGCCTCTCCACAACCTGTCGTCTTTGCCTCTCCACAACCTGCACAACCTGTGGTCTTTGCCTCACCCCAATCTGTGGTCTTTGCCTCTCCACAATCTGTGGTCTTTGCCTCTCCACAATCTGTGGTCTTTGCCTCTCCACAACCTGTGATCTTTGCCTCTCCACAACCTGTGGTCTTTGCCTCTCCACAACCTGTGATCTTTGCCTCTCCACAACCTGTGATCTTTGCCTCTCCACAACCTGTGATCTTTGCCTCTCCACAACCTGTGGTCTTTGCCTCTCCACAACCTGTGGTCTTTGCCTCCTCACAATCTGCGATCTTTACCTTTGTACAATCTGCGATTTTCAACAGCATGTATCAGTTCGTGTGTTGATATCCCTTCTTGCCATGAAAGACGCTGTCAGGAGTATCGCGCTGTCTTCCACTGTCTCTGTTTTCCATAGATCTTTCCAGCAGTTACAATATGTTTACTGATTTACTTATTTAAGAATCGACACCATAGCACACCGGGCATACACATAGATGCTCCGTCTCTCGCAGCTAATGTCGTAAGGTGTAGATGCTGTTCCCGTAGCACAATGATTATACACACGCCGATCTCTTCTTCTCATTCGTCCTTCCTTACCGGTCCCAAACTGTATCCCTCGTTCACACATTCTTGCCTATGTTGTTTCATCTAATCTGGTGCCTTTTGCCAAAAGTCTTTTATATATGGTCTTCAGAATATCTCCCTTGTCCAATACGAGCTTTTACTTTTGTAGCTAGAAAATCCGATCTTCAATTCCCTCGCACTCCTGCATTTCCCGGACAGTATTTCAAAATATGTTTATGTGTCCTTCTTCCTTTAACATGAAAAAAAAAAAAAAAATGATGACTGTTTCTTTCATGTCTTTATTGGATAATCAGTCGCAATTTGATTGCACTATGTCATCGCCACTTCTGGCCCGTCTGTCGGCTGTTTCTTTGTCTTCCAAGCCACGTTGACCTGGGATCCATTGCAGTACAGAGGGTTCTACAAAAACGCCTAAGGGAATCCGTTGCTGCGCCAAGTCCACAAACTGCGTGTGTTTTTGGGGTAAAAACTGCTCGTAGAACCGACTTAGCATCAGTCATAAAGATGAGCTGTTGTCTATTCAGAAAGTCACAAGCCACTAGGAGTGCTTCTGTCTCGGCTCTGTAACTAGACGGATATGAACTTGCTGTCATTTAGACATTCTGTGTTTCAGCCATTTTCACTTTAAACTGGACACATTTCAAACCATCTAGGGCGTTTTTTAAATCAAATTGGACGATTTTCAAATAACTGAAGACGTTTTTTCAAATCAGACTGGGCGATTTTAAAACCACTCAGGACATTTCTCAAATCAAACCGAAAACTTTTCAAACCAAACTGGACATAATTAAAGAAAAACTTGATGTTTTGGAACGCACATTATTTCTTTCTGGAATGTTCTTTTACAAAATTATATATGTATATACCATACGAGATCGAGTGAATAATGAAACTATCAGGCAAATTGTGGGAACGACACCTTGTACTAGATTCATCGAGAAACAGCAGATCAAGTGGTTTGGCCATCTCGTTAGAATGCAACAAGATCAAATACCATCACAAGCACTACATCTCAGAAGATCAGCTACAAGAGCAAGATATATGGATAGACAACATTAAAGACACTCTACTCCTTTACGGCATGTCAATAGCTAGTGGCAGCCAACGTGCACTGGATCGCAAATTATTCCTCCCCACGGCGCTTAACGGCAGAAGTGATTTATGATGATGATGATGATGGTATACGTATATATTCTTCTTCTTCTTCCTGTGCCCCTGTTTAGCCTATAGTCGTATCTCTGTGTAGTCTGGCTGTCTGATTTCGTGTGGTTACAGATATGAGCTTAAACTTTACACTTGCTAGAGAGTATTAGTTATGTTTGTTGTTTGCAGCCAGCAACTGCACCCTGGAGCCGGAGGTGGGTCCATGCCGAGGTTCCTTTCAGCGCTTCTTCTACAACATCAACACTGCCCAGTGTGAAGTCTTCAACTATGGTGGTTGTCAAGGCAACGCCAACAACTTCGAGGAAGTTGAAGCTTGCCAGGCTTTCTGTGTCTAACGTCTTCCAGATTTCTTCATCACCTGCAGCCGAAATTAACACCTGCCAGTCTGCACTGAATATGAAACTTTCACGATTTATTGAACGTACACATTAACAATCTATCGATAATATATTAATCAGAATCTATATAAGTTTTTTCTTTAGACAGACATTAGCAGAAATTCCAGACAGACTTGCTGCAGCTAGAACATTTAAGTTTAGTTAACAGTATTAACGATGTGCACAACTCGGATGCAGTCACCGGAAATTATTTCTTTCGTTTAATAAAGCTGGCACAGATTATAATTTGTTTGTTTCGTTTAAATATTGTGTTTGTTGGGCGTGTTTTGAAAGATGTAAACGAGGCTCGGGTCTGCAAACAACTTATTGCAAACATCAGAAAGAGGCAATCATCATTTTTTGGACTGGTTTTGAAGAGAAGGAAACAGGGCCATGTTGTAACCACTGGAAAGAAATGTGCAAAAAGAGATAGCGAAAAACAACGCTAGAAGATTCTTATATACTCGCATATATATATATATATATATATGTATATATATATATGTGTGTGTGTGTGTGTGTGTGTTGGTGTGTGTGTTGTTTGTACAGAATGAATGTGTGGTGGGGGGGGTGGGGGGGGTGTATGTTTTGTGAGAAAATTAAGTATTTAGAGAAGTATGTATGTGCTGTGAAAAAGTTCAGAAGTACAGACGTTATCGGAAAGTGTTTTTTAAAAAGTGCAGCATATGTAGTGATTTTGTATTTTTTTTTTTAAATCCTAAACGTGTTGAGGTGAGTATTGTAAGAAAGTACAATTTTTAATGGAAATTAGGAAGAGGTACAAAGTCTGTAATGATGTTCATTCTATCAAAGCAAACATTTAGTTGTACAATATCTTGTCAGAAAGTATAGAGTGTGTGAAGACGTGTGTATTGTGAGAAAGAGCCCACTGCAACACCCTTCCTTAACCCATCCTGAAAAAAACAAAAATAGCTTTACTTGCAAGCCTAACAGTTCCTCAACTGCATGCCTTTGTAGGAACAAGGGATGGATCTTTTTATTCCCTAGCAATAACTTTCTCAGAGATACCCCCCACTGTCTTCAGGACACGACCAGGTCCAGCTGATGGGTAGTGCTGATGACGTCACCAGGTCAGGCTAACGATGCGTTAACGCAGCAGTTCTCAAACTGGGTGCCGATGCACTCTGGGGTGTCGTGAGCGTATGCTAGGGGAGCTCGGCAATAATCAAGAAAAGTCAACTAAAACGTGAAATTATTCAAGAAGGCGTGTAGATACTTAGAAGTTACTATTTAAGTTCGTCTTCCCTCGCCACTTTAAAAAAAATAGGTTTTTTTTTCTTGTTTGAGGACCGCTGCTTTAACGCATCGTTAGCCCGACCCTGTGACGTCAGCAGCACTACCTGTCAGCTGGAGCTGGTAGTGCTTCGGTCTAGCCCTCTTAGTCTTCTTGAGAATATTCAATGAGTCACTCAGAAAACAAGACCCACTGTGTGAAGGTCTGTGTGTCCAGCCAGATTACTGATTAAGATTCTGCAGCTCTCCATGTGAGTCCTGAGGTCCAGTTATGGGGAAAACAAGAATACACCTACTGTCGAACGAACGAGCTAACTTTATTTTTAAAGGGTTACAAATTAGGCCTGTCTTACATTCAGCCCTTCCAAACTTCTATCTTTCACACAGCAGTTGTATTTCATCAATGAAGCATGTCATATTCATGTAAAAATATGCATATTATGGATATGAAGTCAAAAAAAAAGCATGGGTGGTAAAATATGTGCACACGCTCAAGCGCCAAAGCACACACCCACATATACACACAAGCCTAATCACACACTTACACAAAAACACATAGGCACCCAGTACACCCATACATCCACATACATACGAACATGCACCCACACACACACCACACATACATACATACATACATACATACATACATACATACATACATACATACATACATACATACATACATACATACATTACATACATACATACATACATACATACATACATACATACATACATACATACATACATACATACATACATACATACATACATACATACATACATCCATACATACATACATACATACATACATACATGACATACACAATACATACATACATACATACATACATACATACATACATACATACATACATACATACATACATACATACATACATACAACATACATACATACATACATACATACATACATACATACATACATACATACATACATACATACAACATACATAACATACATACAGACATACATACATACATACATACATACATACATACATACATACATACATACATACATACATACATACATACATACATACATACATACATACATACATACATACATAACATACATACATACATACATACATACATACATACATACATACATACATACATACATACATACATACATACATACATACATACATACATACATACATACATACATACATACATACATACATACATACATACATACATACATACATACATACATACATACATACATACATACATACATACATACATACATACATACATACGATACATACATACATACATACATACATACATACATACATACATACATACATACACATACATACATACATACATACATACATACATACATACATACATACATACATACATACATACATACATACATACCTACATACATACATACATACATACATACATACATACATACATACATACATACATACATACATACATACATACATACATACATACATACATACATACATACATACATACATACATACATACATACATACATACATACATACATACATACATACATACATACATACATACATAACATACATACATACATACATACATACATACATACATACATACATACATACCATACATACATACATAACACTACATAACATACATACATACATACATACATACATACATACATACATACATACATACATACATACATACATACATACATACATACATACATACATACATACATACACATACATACATACATACATACATACATACATACATACATACATACATACATACATACATACATACATACATACATACATACATACATACATACATACATACATACATACATACATACATACATACATACATACATACATACATACATACATACATACATACATACATACATACATACATACATACATACATACATACATACATACATACATACATACATACATACATACATACATACATACATACATACATACATACATACATACATACATACATACATACATACATACATACATACATGCACACTCACACACACACGCTCTAAAACGCACAAGCACACAACCCAGACACATACAGACACACACACACACACAAACACACACATGCAGTCACGGGTATACACACAAACACATACACACACGCAGGCAGGGAAACAGACACACACATAGACATACGCAACACCCACACATACACAGATAGACACACACACAGACACGCACAGTCACACATACGCACACAGACATTCACACAGACGCATAACCCGACACAAGCAGAGACACGCAGACATTATTTAATAGACACACCGATAGAGACACACAGATACACACAAAGCCACGCACATCCACAGACAGACACAGATACACATGGAGCCAAACACACCTACAGACACATAATGGCACACTCACACACACTGACACACAGAGATATACACAAACACATACTAACACACCCACAGACGCCAAATACTCGCACAGACACACACATGCAGACGCACACACACATTATCAAAAAGATGAACATACAAATACAACACACAGAGAAACACACAGCCGAAGACACAAGCAGGCATAGACACAAAGACACACACGCAGAAACACCTACAGACACAGCATAGATACACACAAACTGACAGACACACACACACACACAGACAAACATGCAGCCAAGCCACACCCACACATATCCACATACAATCACACACACAGACACACACGCAGCCACACATACAGATAGACATAAAAAAACACACAGACACACAACACAGACTGACACGCACACTGACACGCAGACAGACAAACACACACACACACATGCTTACATACACACATACATATGCACATAAAAGCACGCATATGGACGAAACAACACAGAGACACAAAAATAGACACGCTCACAGGCACACCTACAGACAAGTACCCAGACACCATACAGACAAACAGACACACTCACAGACACACGCCTACACACAGAGACATACACACAAACGTATACAGTTACCCATACATACACAGAATCATACATACACAAATACGCCTACACACGCCTGCATGTCACACATATACGCATACAAACATGTCATACGTACTGCAATTAATTATAACTAGTAATGCATTGTGGATTATTAACTACATTTAAGGTGGCATATAATCACTGATAATCATGAAATGAAAGAGTTTGCGGTTAAATGAGTAGGGACTTTTTGTAGTTTTCAGATCGAGTGGAAGAAGGTTCCATAAATGAGCAGCAGAATATGCTAGACTTGTTTTAAATAAATCAATTCTAGGTTTAGGCAAATGTAATAAACCTAGTCGCTTGCTATTCTTAGGATTAGATTGAATAAATCGGTCGATGTAATTTGGAGTATCTTTAGATAGGATTTTGTGAATAAATTTGGCCTTATTAAAAATTAAACGTTTACTTAATGGCAAAAGCCTTAGATGTCCATATAAAAGATTTTTCTCGACGTAGTTTATATCGGAAACTAGGCGTAGGGCCCTATTTTGTAGAGAACTCAGCCGTTTGACATTAGATTTGGAGCAGCCATCCCATATTGTGGAACAATAAATAGTCAATATGCGTTTGAATATAGGATGCGTAAAATATTTTACGTGTATTTTCGTCCAGAAAGTGCTGAATTTTTCCAAGTTGATA